ATTGGGAGTGTGGTATAGGAGGCCTCCGCATTGTCCCAAAGGATAGTGGATGGGTGGATGGATGCATGGATGGATGGATGGATGGACGGTGCTTTGGGCCAGCCCAGGCACCGCACACTCAGCCTCAGCCGAGCTCCCGAACTGGTTGGATGGGAGCAGGTTGGCCATGAGCTGTCGCCTCCCATGAGCAGTGCCGGAGCCTTATCTGCTCCCTCTCTCCTCGCTGGGAGCCCATTTGAGAGCTAAAAAGGATATTTCAGCACAATATTTACCCTTGTGACTTAGCAGCAGTGCTAAGTGTCATGCGAGGCTCTGTTCAAAGGCTGTTGGGAACCTCCTCCTCCTGTCACAGGAGCAAAGAGTGAGAGTCCCTCTGTGCTCCCAGGGGCCACCCCAGAACCTCCCATGCCAGATGTTCCCGCGTTCCTGTCACCCTTCTGCTTCGCTGCTGCTTTCAAAGGGAAAACCTTCCACCACGGGGTTGTTTTTAGTTACATTGCATGTATTCAGGAGTCATAATTAACCTTCCATTTTAAAACCTTCATTTGCAAATGAGCTCCCTGCAGGCTCATTTTTCTGTTTGCAGGAGCGCATGTGTGATGCACAGATGCTCTGTCAGGACACTTCACCTACTCATTAAGTCTGATGAGCTGCCATTTGTGCTCTGCCATCCAGGAGTGCACTGCTTTCCCATATAATTAGTGTTCCTCCAATTAGGATAAATGGCTGTTTCATTACGTGTAAGTGGGTCATTAAAGTGCCATTCCTGTCTCGTGCCTCTGGAGCTGACAAGGGGACCTGCACACTCCTTTCCTCAGTCAAATCTAATTTCAGAAGCCTAATAGCAAAGGTAACGTTAACAGGGCAGCCGTTGCTTGGGATTCCTGCTGTGAGCAGTTTCTGGGGAGGTGGTTTTCTCATGAGCTTGATATTCCGTACAGAGAAGTATCTGCTTGTCATGGCATCTTCTCACGAAAGTCCTGGAGGCATCAAAATACTGGGATTTACTTAATATATATATACTGACCAGCTTCTGTTACCCTATTGAGTTCCTCTTATGAGTGCAGAAGTCCTTGGTTTCCACAGGGAAACACACCCATCRTGGCTTTTCAAGAGCAATCCTTGGACCCTTGTTTTTATTATCTGTGTTCATCCACAGGGAATGRCACAGGGATGTCCATCCCTGCAGGTTCATGCGATCTGCTGGCCACCTGGGAGTTGCAGCTCTTTTCACTCCTCACGTAGCCTTGCGATTCCTGAATCATTAGATGCTGCAGTGCTSTAAATGTCCCTTTTGGAGAACTGGAGGGCAGGTTTCTGACTCACGCCAGAAGATCATTACTCATGTTTTGGGAAGGGATAGAGACATCTTTCTCGAAGGAGAGATTTGCAAGCAGTGAGTCACAATATTGGTCCCTGCTTAAGGCCACATCTGCAGGAGAATCATCTTGGTAATTCTGAACACGGCAGATCAGGAGCTGGTCCAGGGTTGAGATCATCTGAATCTGCCTACCAAGATTTAATGCTGTTTTAAAAACTTCTTTAGAAGGACTAGGATCCTGGAAAACAAGTTTCTACTTTTTGCTTTGAGATTTATCTACTCAAGATACAGTATTTTTTTTCCTAGCTAGACTTTAAACTCCTTCAGTATCTTTCTATGGATGAACCTGGTCAGGTCTTAGACTGTTTAAAAGGGAAAGAGCCCATTTATTTTTCTTGGCATTCTTGTTTCTTTCTCCATTATTTCTGGTTTTCAAGCCATTTCTTTCTCTGTCTTGTAATCCCTGGTTCTCCCCTTAGTATAACATAACATCCTTGTGTAAAACCCCTCCTCCTCAGTTCATCCATCTTACAAACATCTAGGTGTCTCTTTGGCTCCCATCTCAGGCGATTCATCAAAGCCATAACGCCCATTAATCAGTCATGATCTTACTGATAAGGTTTATCTCTATATTGAGAGGAAAAAATGTTCATAGAAGTTTTTCCATCCTCCTCAAAGGCCGGGCAATCTGCAGTCAACTGCCCCTTGCTTCTTGGTAGGTAGATCAAACCATGCAGAGGAGTCACAGAAGGGAAGTGGCAGCGAGGGAGGAGGGATCAGGGCCTGAGGGTTTTGTTTGTTGCCTTCCTGCTAAAGCAAWCACATCTTTCTTCTCAAGCTCTTACCCTCCCGCAGCATGTTTTTTTCTATCAAACTGTGAAGTTGACACATACTAAATCATATAGGCTTCTTGGTATCTTCTTGTTTTTCTTCTTTTTTTCCTAAAGAAGTGGCACAAAAATACGAATAAACAGCGTATGAACATATTTGCCACTGCAAAAGCAGTTGATCAGCGTGACAACAATCCAAGCAGCTGAGCCTGAGTCTCACACCATGAGCCACTGGTAACACAAGTGTGCCCTGAGCCCAGAGCCCACTCCCAAAGCCCTTGGGTACATCCCTAGCCTTTGCAGGAAGTCAGAGGGAAACCAAAGGCTTCTGTCTAAAATGTTGACTGTTTTTTTCTGGGGATAGTCTTCTTGTGGCATAGAAGTATTTTGTGAAGATTTGGGCATCACATATGAGGCTCCAAGGAACAGTATCATGTTTTGCAAGAGCAAAGCCCAGTTCCAGTGTCTATGGCTTCAAGGGTATTGTGGTGGGTCATCAAACATTACTAATGTATGTGTCCTGAAGCCCTGGAGAAGAGGGTCCTACCAAAGGTTCATAGGTTCAGACAGGATGTGCAGCTTTGTCAGGCCAATAAAATACAGTCAACAGGATGTGGGGAGAGTTCCAACGTGAGGGTAGAGCTCTAACATGAGGGTAAGGGCTACCAGAAGGTCATGGTGAAAGGAAGCTGCCTCTTCTGCACATGGAATACAGATTGCCTCCCTCCCCTCCCTCCAAACAGGCTCCACATAAACTTCTTTCTTCAAAATCATGGGCAAAAAGGTAAAGCCAAACTTCAGAAAGCAGTATGTGTTAACGTAAAAACTATGTATTCTGAGGTCATTTGACAAGCAAAAGGATTTTTAGCATGGCAGAGCAAAGGCCTAGACTTTGCTGAGAGCAGCCATGATCACACTTCTGCAAAGCGTGGGGCTGCACAGTGAACATCCAAACCCATTTCTGTATCTCAGGTGCGTGTTGTACGGGGCAGCTTTCTGGYAAATACCCTGGTCCAACAGAACAGATGTGTGAAATAACCCCTTGCTCTTAAAACTGAGCAAACAGAATAAGAATAAACCAAATCCAACATGTACCTAGCCATGGTGGTTAAGTCAGCTGCTTCTTTCTAAAATATTCCTTCTGCAGATGTTCCAGATAGGTCCCTGAGTTAGGGTGTTGGGCCTCCTTCCTAAGYGCTTGCAAATACCGAGTACATGGAAACCTGATGTCAGCCACGGGACCCTCCCGAAACCTTGGACCCAGAACTGCTGCTGTAACTGGAAAATTACTGCTTCATAGGAACAGTGTCCTCTGCACCCCTGCCAATGCTCCCCTACGTCAGCTGGTGGTGCTTGACCAGGCGCCGCTGGGTGCCTGTTGAGTGGGTAACGGTAGCGCTGTGGGCAACGCCAGCTCCTAATTCTGTTGATCAGAATTACTTTGGACTTTCCATTTAAGCAGCTTCTTCACTTTGATGAGGACTGTATCAGCAGCACTGACCATCCGTAGCCAAGTGCCCCTGCTGGAAGGGGTTCTGGTAGCAAACATGCTGAAGCACTGTAGAAAATCTGCACTCTTATTGGCCCTTCCTCATGCTCCTTTGACCAGGTAATCTTTTTCTCTTGCAGCAAGGACTGTACAAGTCTGTAGAAGACTACAGCAGAATTGTGCTGTAGACAACGTATCGGGTAGGTACCTACATACCTTACAGTGCTGTGACATGACCGAAGGTTTAGTTGAGCTCGTCACCTAATTTGAGGTTATGCTACAGCACAGCTGGAGACACCACCCATTTCTGTGCACGGGCCTCTCCTCCTCGCGAGCTGCAGCGCAGGCAGCAGAGCAGCAGACACCCCATAGCCCCTTGGCCAGCTGCAGCCGCTCTCTTTGGGCAGAGCCTTCCCCAAATTACTTGCCATGGCTGTTCTCAAGCATTCGACAGGCCTCCGTCTTTATCTCTTGTTTGCAGGTAGGTTTTTGCTCTCCCACAAGGTGTATGGTGCACGTTCTGCCTGCACATATGTCCTGGTGTGGAAACAGTCACCCTGCCAAATCCTCTAAATATTGTAAAATTCCGAGACTCAGGCCAAGTCTTAAAATAGAACACGTCTGAGCAAACTTCCTGGGGTTTTAAAACAGCTTTCTTGTGCGTGTGTTGGTGTATGAATGGAATCGTGGATTTCTGAAGTGTCAAGGGGGCGAATGTGTATGTACCCAAATGAGAATATTATGAATGAGGCTCTTCAGAGAAGAACACTGATGAAAAGGACACTGTTAGCAAAAAYGACCACAGAAGTATGAGCAAATACTTGAAGGGAAGAACACCCAGGGGGAGTGGGTTCCCACTTTCCTGTGAACTCCATTATTTTCTTTTCAGAAGTCATGCTAAATAGGAAGGAGTTTCCACTTTTAGCAAAAAATGAAGTAGTGTCCGTCCTCAGTGAAAGTTCTGGGTGTGAAGATAAGTGCCAGTGAAACGTACTTTTAGGACAGCAGGACAAGGAGAACTCCCTCAGCAGGGCCAATAAGCGAACAAAATGAGCCCTTATCTGTTTTCTGCATTTACATTGCTCCATCAACAGTATTTAAATGTCTCACAATTTTTAATCTATTTACCATTACAGCATGGTTGTGCTTATCTGTGCATTTAAAAGATGAAGAAATGAAGCAGAAAGAAGGTAAGTGATTTGCCCAAGATTCTCTAAAAAACTGTGCCATACGTTTCAAGCTATTGTCCTCTCATCTAAAAAACTGTGCCTTACGTTTCAAGCTATTGTCCTCTCATACTAATCTTTTGCTCTCAGTCCCTCCATCTACAATATGACCAGATGGCGAGTTGTTGGGATGGTATCCTCTGCAGTAATGCAGCTCTCCTCTTTCTTCTTACTGGAAACTTCTGCCAACTTCAGGTTTTGGTTCTTGCAGCCATTGTTGTTGCTTTGGCTTATCTGGATTCTGGAGGTCTCTCAAATCAGACCAAGGTCTTTCCTATTTTMTTTCATGAAGTTGTTCATTTCCACCAGCAACCAGAACCTAGGCAGAACATCGGAGACTTGGACAAAAACAGAAAATGGAGCAGAAAACTAACCAGACCTTTCTAAAGCCTGTCCAAAGTATCAGGAACAAAAAAGAAATCACTGTGTTATTTAAATGGACCAAGCTTTGTCCGCCCCACCAGGGTCTGTTCTCCATCAAGGCAGATGCCAGATTACTCCTGATAAAGAATTGTAAAGACAGGCCAGAGCAAAACATGCCTAGCTTTGTATTAACCTTCAGGCTAATCTCTGTTCTTGCTGCAGTGATCCCACAAACTACTGAGTCATTTTTTAAAGGTACCTTGTGTCCTGAGTTTCCCTCTGTTCCTTGAGCTCGAGTTACTCTTTGTGCCATCCGTTATCTCGGGGGCTGCTTTGTAGCTGGCTGCTACAAAACACTGCAAACAGACTCCACTGTCTGTATTGACTGACTATATTTTGTTCTTTTTTGATGTTAATTCCGTGTAGTATACAAGGCTGATGTTCCACTGCTTTCCACCACACCACACAGGGGCTTGAGGCAGCCTGTTCTTGCTCCCCAGGAGCTGTGAGAAGCAGACAGGTGATCAACCCAGTGCTAGGGCTCTTTGCACGAGGCAGTGGAAGGGGTAAAGATAAGATACTATGAACAGCACTCTGACTTGGGACACAATAAATAGTGAAGTCTTCTTTGATACTTACTGATGTTTACATACCATGTAATTATTATTATCATCAAAAATCCCAACTTCCTTTTTTTTTTGAACATACTGTCTAAACAGGAAAAAGCTAACCTTCCTGTTTGGAGAACTGCTAGTTTCAGGAGGAATATATTTTTCTCTCTTACTTACAGTTTTCAAAGATTTTGTTTTTAATACAAATAGCAAAGACAAACAATAGGCTATCGAAAAGGAAGGAAAGCCATGTCTGAAACAAACAGTGTCTGCTATGAATAGATATCTCTGCACTACGGAATAACTCATGTCATACTTATACTGACTTTTGCATACTGAAAGGGAAATGTAGACTTATTTTTGGCAAGCAGTATGCTGTGTGTATACAGTACAAAAGGCAAAGGTGAGATAGCAAGGGAAGACAACCCTCCTGTCAATCTCTGTGCAAGAAGCAGACCCTCAAGACTTTATGTTTTAGCAGGCATGCTGGTCATGGGTTTGTGGTTGGACCTGATGATTTTGAAGGTCTTTTCCAACCATAATGATTCTCTGAGTCTAATGATTCTCTTCTCCCAGAGTCGAAGTCCCCTTTCTATGGCAAGGTACTTAGCCATATGTATTCTTCCTGCCTTTGGTGATCCTGGTGATCCCAAGAGTTGGAGGTGCCACTTTGCTATTTGCAGTGCCCTCACCACGCACTCTTGCCACTCATTTACGCATTACTCTCTGTCTGAAAGGGTGAAGTATTTTGCCAGGTGAGTCCTGCATCATGATCTAGCCGGGCTGCTGGTATTCACAGTTACAGCAAGAAAAGAATATGTTAAAGCCATTGTAAAATAACCAGCACCACATGAAATGGAAAAGGTGGGATACAATAATCTGAATTCCATATGCCCTCTGGCAGTGAGAGGCAGGACAGCTGTCATGCTGAAAGAGACCCAGAAGTCAGCAAACAGGCTGAGTTAATGATGTGACACACACACACACACACACACACACACACACACACACAAGTAGTGTGATTCTGAGCAACAGCAACATACACAGGAGCACCCCTCCCTAGACAGAGAACTGTCTGTGGTGTTGCCTGTGCTGGTGTTTTCCACAAATGGTGGCACCACTATCGAGCTGGGTGCAATAATGGGTATCAAGTTAAATTAACAACCAAGTTCCTGGTGGTAGATCTGCTAGCACCCTGAACAGGCTCTAAGAGGAGGGATTAGCAAAGACATAATTGTTGGGGACAGTGAAAATGGACCACACAAATACATCTATGCTGCCACAACCAGTGGCAGTCTGTATGATTCCATAGAGGCAGCTCTTTTGGAGGACTGCATAGTTAGCAATCTGAGAGCTAAATGTAAGACGTGGTACTTCAACTTCTGTTGTTCCCCTTCGCAGGAACATGTTTGGAGACTCCAGGTTGTGGTTCTGCGCGTCTTGGTTTCCCACGGGAGGCCGTGTAACCTGTGGGCTCTGGCCAGGCTTGCTAGCTGTGCTGGTTGAACWGCACTGCCTGCTTAAACCAGGTAATGTTCATAAAATATGATGCAACRGAGGGAGTAGGCTCTAACTATTAAATATCACAGCTGATACCCTGTGGCACCAAGTCACTGTCCTCTGAACATTCCCCGTGCTGCTACTGCAAATAAATTCACCAGCTTCCATCTTAACAGCTTACTTTAGAGCCGGTGTCACACTTCACACCCCATTCTGGATGCTCTCCAACAACTTAATGTCTTTCACTGAGTAAGGCGGGTAAAAATGATGACAGTACCCTTAACTAAAGAGCCATAAAATTCTAATAGAGCAGTAATGTTCCCAGTGAGCCTAAAGGGAATCTGATCAATAGTCATGAGGCAAAGACTCAATTTATGGCTTTAATTCAACGGGCAGAGTCCATTTTTGTACAGGGCTCTTTTGTGGTTTCTGCTGAGCAGAGCAGTATAAGGGCTGCAAGCCTGTTCTTGACAATTCCCCCCGGATTTGTCATTTAAGTAGTGACTCCACAGAAATGCTGATAAGGGTCCTATGACCTATTTGAAGAGAATTTTTCATTGTTTAGGACAGACAGCACCAACTATATTTGCTCTGGGAGTCTAAAGCTTGGAGTGGTTTCATAGTGAGYGAAAAAGTAAGTTATTTCAGATCCTACTTAAACTTCCCACTGAAGGTACTCACATACCTATGAACCACTCCACAAACAGGAATGATCCAGTAGCATCCTCTCCAAAAATCCCTTCCTGCTTTTGCCCGTCCTTTATGGTAGAATTTGTAAAGGGCCAGATGGGAGCTACTTCTAATGGCTTTAAGCTGCTCTGTGGTACAAGGAAGTTTTCCCACTTTTGATCTCCTTAAGCTTCCAAAGTGGTAGGTAAAGACTGATGCAGAGGGATGAAATTTCATCCAACCACTTTTACCTTCTTGGGAAGTTCTTATTAAAGTCTTCATATAAAAAGGTCAGAACTTTCCAAAGACTGAGGCAAATCCAAGCCTTATGTTAGCCCTCTCCCACCAGCAGGATAAGCATGAATTAGACAGAAGTATTTTAAATTAAGTGCCAAAGCCCTCACAGAGGCATTTCGGTAATTTCTGCATCTCCCTGTTCAATAGTTACATACACAGATTACCTGAAGAGTTTTAAGTATCTGAACTGATAGGAGTGTGTTACAAACACACAGAAAAGTCCTGTCCCGTGCGCATTCTCCGTCAACACTCAGCCAAATATGTTTGGACTGTGAGGTTCACTCAAAGGTAATTTCTCAGGTGCATTTAAAATAATAGTCCCGTCTCTTGCAGCACGTTCAGCTCCACAACTGCCGACAGGCGAAACCTGCCCGAGATGGTGCCTGGACAGACTCATTCCTGCTCGGGACGCCGTTCCACGCGTGGTGCAGCCCCACGCGTCGCCCGCAGCTCCGCGCGCGCGCGGGTGCTCTGGGTGCCCCGGGCCGCGCGCTGGGGGCCCCGGGCCGCGCGCTGGGGGCCCCGGGCAGCGCGTGAAGCGCCCGCAGCGGCGCGCAGGGCCGCGGGCGCCGGCGCTTCCCCGAGCCACGAGCGCCACCCAGGGCTTCCGCCGCGCAGGCCGGGCCCGGCAGCGCCGAGCCTCCCCAGCGCCTGTCCCGGGCCGCCCCTGAAGGACCACRCAGCTCGAGGGGCAGCCGTAGTCAATGCAGCAGTTACGGCGGTATAAGTTGCATGCAGTGGCACATCCAGAGCAGCCACAGGTGCACCCGTTTGCAGATCACTCGAGGAACKCGCTACTGCCAAAACAACGGGCACTGACTTTATAGCAGTGCGCCCCGAGTCAGGCTGCCATCAAAACGACCCTCATCAGCTCCCTGCAGATACGTACCTGGGCAAAGTGGCACAAGTTTTAGAGAAGGGGACGGCACCAGATGCCACAAAGCTATTTCAATAGGGCGTAYGGCCCCCTTGGCTGCTGAGGTAGTTTGGTGCTTGCGGCTCTCGTGCGGGTCCGTCCCACGCGGCCGCCGCATCCTGTGAGAGTCAACAGCAAAATCCCTCTGTTCCAGGTGAGACGTTTAGGCTAAATGATGACTAAGGGAGTAAACAAAACCTGTGTTGAAGGGTAAAGCTGGGGAAGACTGATGGTTCTTTGGAAGGGGGCATGAAAATTACAGAGGTCAGAATGCACAGGAGAAAGTAACCCACKGAGCAGTGAGCAGGCTGGGCTGTGCAGGAGAGCGTATCCTGCTGCTGCCAAGTTTCTTGTTAAAGTTTCTCGTTAAAGTTTCTCAGGCTGAGAAATTCAAAATGTGAAGCATCCATCATTCATTTGATTCCCCTGAAAAGGTGTCATAGTCCGTAAAATAATTGCACTTGCTTGTATTTGCAGGTTTCTTTCAAGCTGCTCCCATGTTTGTTAATATCTAAACTGAAACAGTTGCCTWCCTACCTGCTTCTGGAAGGAAAGCTGAAGAAACTTGTGTTTCTTCCTGCCACAGTAAAGCTGCTCTGAAAAGACAGCAACCCATACAGCATCAGCGGGAGAGTGTTGCCACGGCTTGCAGCTCCATATCATTGGCTCTCCTTTGCACTTTTTTCTCTTTCAGAATTTGGCAGGAAAGGTTATCTAAAAACCAGTCTACATCTTGATAGTCTTCAGGCCACCGCAAATACCGGCTCCTTTGCAGGAAGTTTCGAATGGGCTTGTGTTTCCTCAGCTGATATTGGGATAGCGACCCGACCACTACCATGATGAGGATATCTTTCAGATCAGAAAAGTACCTGCTCTGGGCAAAATTAAAGGCTTCCACACACCATCCATCTTTGAGAAACTGCCTTGTCACAATGCAAACTGTTTTCCTGCTGTTCCAAATGGCATCACGAATATTGTTGATATGGTCTTCTCCAGGCAAGAAATCTCGTTCCTCAAAGCACAGGGTAAATCTGTTTTTGTCAAAATACTGTGAATCCAGGTGTTTCAGTAAAGCATGCTGGACCCATTCAAAGTCATTTCTGCTGTAGCATAAATAAGCRTCATATCTATACTCACTTGTGTCAGCTGCTTGTTGATGGCTGTCTACCAAAGTCCTTGTCACAGTTTTATACCAGACAAAACAAATCCCCCGACAGCGAGTGAAAATGACGACTGCTATCTGAAACATTACCAGGGTGACAGAGGTAAAGATGAATACTGAGAACCTGAGAGACTGCTGGAGTTCATCTTCATCGCAACCATCGTAGACAAGGGAAGACAGAGGCACCCCAGCAAAAGCAGGTGGGTATACACAGTATCTGTCAGCTTCTGCGCCAGCGAGGGTGACATTGGTTTCATTCAGCCACAGTAACAGGTTCTTCAAAGTACAATCACAGACATAATTATTGTGTGTTATATCCAGGATACTCAAAGTCATAAACACTTCAGGCTCAGGGGAGAAAAGCTGGTTTCCAGACAAGTTGAGGTTTTTAAGGCTTTGTGGAAAAACCCCAGGAGACAGATGAGACAAGAGGTTGGAGGCTAGATTAAGTCTCTGTAGAGATGCTAGACCTTTAAAAGCCTCTTGTGGAAGAGCACTGAGGTAGTTGTTATTCAGATGTAGGACCTGCAGTTTGGAGAGTGCCCTGAACACATCCAAACACACATTTCTCTCCCACACAAGCTGTAACATATTTTCTCCTAGATCTATATAGATTATGTGATTGTTTTCTATAGCATTTACTCTTTTCACACAGTAAGAAAAGCGATTCTGTTTTAAGAAGATATACTGCAAGCCTGGAACTTGGTAGAGAGTATACAGATCACCCAGGTTTCCCAACCAATTTCTTTCTAAATCAAGATACGTTGCAGCTATTACTCTGTCTACTACAGATATTAGCTTATTGTCACCTAAAAAGGCAGTGGTCAGACTTGGAAAAGAAGGTAGATTTTTAATGGCATTGTCTCGAAGATCAATTATTTCCAGATTTACTAAACTACTGAATGAATTTTGACCAATCATTCCAATATGGTTTTGCTGTAGATCAATATACATTACGCTAYGTAGCCCCTCAAAAGTATAATCGTACAACTCACCTAAAAGATTACTTGAGAGATTGAGAGTTTTTAGGTTTCCCAAGCCAAAAAATGCTTTCCTTTGGACTTGATTTATCTTGTTTCTGTAAAGGTTTAAGAATTCCAAGTTAYGAAGGCTTTGAAATACTAAGGAATTGAGAGAGAAAATGTAACCATGTGAAATGTCAAGCAAACGAACACCACTTCCTGCTAGACCTGTGAATGTGTTTTCATCTGGATTTTTTAAGTTATCAAAGCCGAATCCTGAACCCATTATATGAGGACTCAGTTTTAAAGCAGTGATTTGAGTCCCTTTTATGGCTGTACAGAAATACTGTACTGCCTCTGTGCCCCAACCACTGTGACCAAGATCCAGTAAGTTCAATGTAATGTTTCTAAAAGGATTTGGGCATTTGGCCCAGGCTGTTTGACTTGTAAGATACAAATTATTAGAATTGAGGCTAAAAAATACAAATGTTTTTCCTTGGAAGTTGGTAAGATTGCTTTCACACAGGTTGGATATTTTGTTGAATTTCAGGTTCACACTTTTCAAGACCGTTAGGTTACAAAATAAGGGATGAGGATGAAGTTTTGTGATTTGATTATCCGAAATATCCAATTCTTCTAAGGACCTCAAATCTCGAAAGTAGCGTTCTGTCAGGATGGAGTCTCCCAGATTATTGGAGAACAGTCGGAGTACAGTCAGATTTGGCAGCTCCACAAAAGCATCAAGATCCAGTTGAAGAATCTTATTGAACCCTAAATCTAAGACCCGGAGATTTGGCAGGTTCCTGAAAGCTGCTTTTCCTATGGTAACAGGAGCGATATACTGTTTTCCAATTTCCAGCAGCAACAAGTGCTCCAGCAGTGGGAATGAAGTCGCGTTCACTTGTGTGATGTAGTTGAAACTTAGCAAAAGCTTCACAGTATCCTTTGGCACAAGTGGAACATCAGTGAGGTTGCAGAAATGGTACAGAGATATCTGGCCTTCTGAATAACAGCTTCTATGCGCATATATACCTCTAGCCAGAGATATTCCAAAGACAAGAACTAGCTGTTGATGTAACATCATTAATCTGTATGAAAAAAAAAGAAGACAGTAGCAATTAATTATGAAATCAGCTATCTACCCAATAAGGTGTAGAATAAAAGACAAATGTCACACTAAAAATGACTAGTGATTTGGAATGTATTTTTCTCTGAAAGTCTAATGGGCAGTTGATAGTCTGGCTGCCCAGACGAGGGATCCCAAGGAGATCTGAGCACCTAATAATCTAGTACCCCTCTTCTACGTATCTCAAAGTGAGCAACAAAACCCCATTAGTTAAGCATGAAAATCTTGGCCTAGCTTTTTATCTCACTGAACTGACAACAGTAGAGTATTGGCTTAAAAATCAYGCCTTAATCAGTTATCCAAACAGGGTTCCACTCTTTGGACTTCAAGTACTATTGCAATCACCTCCACAGAGCAGGCAGCAGGGGTGCTCTTTCCCTGAGCCCTCTCCTTGTGAGGGTAACCAGCGAAGCTGGTTGGAATTCAGATTGCCCTGCTAAAGCACTAACTCAGCCATGAATTTTAAAGAGAGGAACTTCATCTGGGGCTCCATGGCTCTGAGATCAACCCTGCAAAGTGAAGCTGCTCTCAAAAAAGTGGTAAAACAGCTTTGAAAGTGTAGGCATGAACAGGGCTAACAGCGAGGAAGAAAAATGCCGTAGCTTGAAGCAACGCTGCAAGAGTTCAGTGTTTGTGGTCACTAATTATATGACATACATTCATATTTCTATGAAAAATTACATTTGCTGAAATGCAGAGCTCAGTATACATGACTTTGTTTCACTCTTCCGTGGCAATGATGTCAGAAAGAGGAAGCGATAAGGGGAAGGAGAGAAACAGGAGAAGGAGGAAAGGGGGAGCAAAAGCTTTTGCAATGTGAAGTCCTAAGCAGAGTATATTTCATGTTTCAGATCAAAGGGAGGAACTTTTACACTGGAAGATGGACACTTTTCCCTAGATCTGAAGTCAGCAAGCCTACGCACACAGAGTACAAATATTCTAGCTCTGGTCTCAGACTGCTTGGAGAATATGCTTCTCAATGAGTAGAAGCAGATCCAACTGTTTTAAGAAGTCTGGAATTGACCTGTGCTGTTCCACTTCTCTTTTTTCCTTTTAAGAACTGTGTTTTCATCAGGTAGAAGCCTTCAACCAGCCAAGTGAAAAAAGGTAGATAATTAACAGTATTGGTGTGGAGATGCTGTAGTTCCCATCCAGGCAGGTACAGCTGTTCCCACCTCAGAATACTTGCAGATAGTGTCAGTGAGGTGATGTAATGAAACTACTGTCACCTTTTCTGTGAGGATAATCCAGGAAAGAAGTTAAGGAGAGTGGCATAACACTGGCCATTCCCTTTCCCAAGCTCCTACAAAAATTATCTGGAGGTCAAATGGAGAAAGAGTAGGTTACTTAAGCTATATTCATCCTTGCTGATGGCTGAGAGTATTTACTTGCCTCTTTTTTTTTTTTTTTTTTCTTTTTAGCAGTGTGATATTCAAGGAAATTCAGTGTTCTCAGGAGTGGCTTGGTGCTGAATCAGCTTTCAGCAGAGTGTCCACTCTCCTTAGCAGCCTCTGCAGCATCCACCATTCAGTCTAGGCCAAATAAGAACCTGCTTGTGCCAATTCAACTGACCAGAGAAACTGTGCACCCAGCTCTGGAACTGACTTCCTTAAATAATTCTGTAAACATGAATTGTTGTTCAGGCATTCAGGATGTGTCTGGAAAATTAAAAAAAAAAAAAMAAAAAACTAGGCAGAGGTAAAGTTGGTGGGTTTTTCATTGCACAAAGAACACGGAATGCAAATAGTTTGCTTGTGCTAACTTTCATGAGAGACATTTTGCCATTTCTTGCCATGTCACTGAATCATAGGGTCTAGGTATGTGTGCACATGAGTGCATCTATAAAAGCAGCAGTATCTTTTGACAAGTGTGTGTAAGTCTCATCTCCACTTACAGCAAACTTAGAGGAGGAAAAAAACCCTTAATTCTCTTGCCAAGTTGTAAGCCCTCTCCCATTCTGCTCCGAAGCCAAAGGCCTGGCTGTTGGAACRGCAGGATGTGAAAGCTCCCTCGGAGGCTGGATGCAGAACAGCATTATTTATCAGAGATAGCACAAAAATCTCCCCAGAGAAAGGGAGGAATGAAATAAAGGCTTGAACAACTTTGGAATAGATTTCTAGCCTGTCAAATCAGTGCATGGAAGATATTCTTCTTCCTCTCCATATGCAAATGTATTGCACACTAAAGAGACAGAGAGGGACCATCTTAATGGTCTCATGTGTTTTATCCTGCAGTGAGATGGTTTTGTGCATGCAGTTACACTGATTTAACCTAAAATTTGCCCATGTGATCTGCACACTGGTTTCATCATCAGTGTACCACTTTGCTTGTGAAGGTTTTCATACAGTATTTAAGCCAAGTTTCACACATACATGTGCAGATTCAGGCAAACACAATAGAAGTTGTTTTCCGCTCATCTAAGCCAAACTCCAGGGCTTGCTACAGTTTCTATTAATAGGTTCCCAGGCAGCGTGGAGCAACACTTATGTTTCTGGCCAATGCCAAGATTTGAAATAGTTCTCCAATTTCGAATCTTATCATCAATAAATGTTTCAGTGTAAAGGACAAATTGTTTTAAATCTTTCACTTCTGATTTTAGGTGCTTATACATACATACACATTTTTGACAATTTCTGTCTCCCTCTTACTTTCATTAGCATAACTATGCTGCCCAATAGAGATACTGTAGAGACATAAGTACAATTAAGATGTAATAAACTGGAGTTCTTGACCAYGTAGAACTTCTGATTTCAGTTTTAAGTAGTTACAATCTCAGTATGAAAGTGTTCCAGCATATTGTGTCTCTATGCAAACAGGGAATCCCACATTACTGGCAAATCCTGCAGCACGTTCTCCCCAGACCAGAAATAGCAATCARTTAAATCATTTTGGGGCAAGGGATCAACTGATTCCTAGAGGAGTTAGTTACAGACCTTCCTGCCAGAAGCTGGCAAAGTGCAGCACTGACATACACCAACATAACCAATAATAAAATTGGCTGCAGGTGCAAAGCATATGGGCAGGGAAAAAAAAAACACTGAGAAAGGGGAAAAATTAGCAGGAGTCTGGAAGCTATGAGTGAGTGAGGACATTCTGCTTAGCTACAAGATAAGCCTGATTCAGTATAAATAAACTAGGCTCCCAAAGACAAAAGCTCTGATTCAGTTCATGAATTGTGGAAGAATAATGACAAAGTGAAAGAAATCCTGATTCTTTCTTCCCCTCTTTCTAAGCCAGTTTACTTTTTAGAACAAATTTAAGGAAATTCTGATTATATTAGAGTTTAAATAGCTGAWCTTTGTACATTTATAACTGATCTTTAGCCATTAGTGCTTCAGTCAAGGACCTTTTGGACTATAACGCTATTGCTAGGAATAGCTCCAGGAAAAGGGGAATGGCAGAGAAAACAGTTCATTACAGTTTGGACACCGTAACAGGAAACTGCTGAGCTGTAAGGTATGACAAAATGCACGTATAAGTTGGTGGCACTTAGGGTTGAAATGGCATCACGCTGTTCACCAGTGAGGGACAAGAATGCTGGCCAGTCAGGAGTGCCACAGGAGTTTATGTGAGAGTTTGTCTTTCTACTCCTAAACTGCGATTTGAGATGACAATGATAATGTCAGTTATCTCCATCGTTCCTGCTTCAGACCTTTCCTACCCACTTGTCTTGTCTTACCATACTTCAGCCTAGGCATAGACCCAGCGAGCCTGTACATAAAGGCCATTTTAGCTCTGCATTAGTATCACCCACTGCATCTCTCCTCTCTCCACCTGCACATTTGGTCTGGATGCAACGGAAAGACCAAGCCTCCAGCTCCTCATATAGGCCAGAAAGCACGCAAAAACCTAGCACAGACCATGGACAAGGATGTGTCACAGCCTTGCTGTGGGGCTCATGAATAGTTTCCCAGTTCTGGCTTGTTGCATGAGTTGTGATTCTGATTTCCTCAAAGGGAGCTGTTACATGATAGGGTGTGTCACTTGCTGCAGCTACGCAGCACCTGCCTGGTTTGAACTGCATTGAGCCTCTGCGTAAATACCCAACGCTTGCGAAAACAACAACTGGGTTGAGAAATCAGGAGTTACATATGGGATCTAATTATCYAGATCCTGTTCATGATTTAGATTTGTTTTGATATGCCCTCAGGCTGTACAATGAGGACACCCATGCTTTAACAGCAGCACGATTCCCATGTTCTTAGATTATTGCAGATATTTAAAACAAACTGCTCTCTAAAGGCTGGGAAATAAAGTAACATCTACTCACTAAAAAGTCTCTGGACTATTTCTGTAGGGAAAACCTGACAGGCACCAAGAGCTTGCAGCGGCCCCTGGGCTGCAGCGGTCTGAGCCCAGTTGATTTTAGCCCCTGCAGCTTTAGTGCCTCCCTCCTGGGAAGGGGCTCCCTGAGGACACAGGCAGCCTCCTCCTGCTGCAGGTGCAGCCAGCTAGGCCGGTTGGTCCAGTTAAAAGCCTCACCACCAGGCACTGCTCCATCTGCCACCAGTAGCCCCAGTCCCATCCATCATCGTGCTAATAAGGACTGATGAAGGCTGAGCACCTCAACCACAGTCGTGAAAAGAGTCTCAAGTCTCTTACGCACCTGCAGGTCCTAAGGAAACAATATTCTCAAGGCTTCAGGGTGGACACTTAGGATCCCTGTTTTWACAGTTTGCTGCTGTGGTCATTTCCTAGAGGAGACACTTGTTAAAAGCCGTACGAACCAGCCATGGCAGTCATAGTCACAGCTCAGACACTCCTACCCCTCACCCAGAATCCATGCTGACTTTTTTCTCTTTGCAAACTGTCATGTGGTAAGTGTCTGGTCTAGACTAGCTGTCACTTGAAGGAAGCAGCATTTCCCTCATTTTGTGATGGCAAAACTTAAAAAAAAAAAAACAGTGGCTATTGTTTCAGGCTTTGTTTTTTACAAAGCAGCATTTAGCCCACGTACAAAAGGTCCTTCTTTCTTCTCACAAGGATAACTTTGAAGCAGCCAGGATTAAAACTCCGATGTGGAAACAATCAAAGGCATAACAGGGAAAACCTCTCAAAAAAGCCAGCCTAGTTAGAGGACGCAGTGCTCAGCTTACAGGAGGCCAGCTTCTGCACACAGA